CCAGTTACCCATAACTCTATTAACGGGAATTTAATCTTCGATCTCTGTAACTTTTATCGGTGCACGAACACAACATCTCCAAGCCGAACTCGCAAATTCAACCTCACAACTTTGTTCATCCTTATCTTAGACTATTCACGTGTATCATCAGCAAGTGATATACAAATAATATCCTTCCTTTTCTTTCCCTACAACCCAACATAAATCACACTATATGAGTAAACTATCACACTCTTTTATATGATCCCTAAATTAAAAATAAGTGTGACTCAAAAAAGTTATTATTTGGGAATTGAATGAAAACCCCTGATGGAAAAGGAATGAATTTAAAGAGGGTAGTGATCAAAATATTCGATAAGGCTTGGTTGTTCAAAATATCAACAACAACCAATTATTTTCAGTTATTAGTGATCAAAATATTATCCCAATTCAAGACACCAAAATAATCAGTTCCAACAATATTTTTCAATGTGATTCAAATTTTACACCATACCTTTATGTCATATAGTTATGATAACTATTGAAAAAAGAATTTCCCATACCTCGTCTATAACTTTCCAGGAAGCCCTACTTCTATCTCTGGAGCGGCGTACTTCAGGAGCATCCTCTTGCGCCTGTTTAAAATTTCTACTATAAAAAAGAGAGCCAAGTAAAACATGAGACTGAATCACGTGAGAAGGTGTGTTGATACAAAGAAAGGCATATATAAATGAGAATGTGACAATATAATATTTTGGTTCTCCACTTTTGTAGTTTATTATATTCATCAAGTTGAGTTGCCTTATATTTTTATGAATATGCAGATGCAAACCAGTCACATTTCATTCACCTCTTTATCATCATTATCATCATCCCCATCATCATCGTCAACAATGTGTTCCCCGGAAAGCAATTATGCCAAGAGACTCTCTTCTTCAACACAAACTACATCGGAAAAAGTCAAGTCAAATTTTACAAGAAAATCATGGTAGTTTGAAGATTTGGAAACATTACCACCAAAGATAATTGAGAATCATTTTAGTGCAATGTCTGAAAATAGCTACTCAAACCAGAAACACCGATTACAGAAACAACAACGAGTATGCTGCTCTTGAAGAAACAACTGTTTATTATCCAGGAATCTACAAAAGCAAAAATAATAACATTAACATCGAAAATTGCATACTGCACCAAAGATCCGTTCAGTTTCGGCCGCCGCGAGCAAGTAAAATATAGAAAATAAAAATATGCTTACTGCACTTCCTCTAAAAGAAATCCGAAACAGGAAAGCTTGTATTGAAACTGTTGATAAGAATTAATAAGGTTGCCAACAACAACGGCTCGACAACCACCCGAGCCCTCAATGCCACCCTTAGCCCATTCACGAACAAAAAATCTCTTAAGCATCTGAAGGGTTTCAAAACAAAATTCAAAACAAAAATCAATACAAAATCAAAACAAAAACACGACTTCTACAAAATCAAAATAGAAATAAAAACAAAATCAAAATAAAACATAACTTCTACAAAATCAAAACACACGATTTTTACCTGAGTTGAGATTGTAATTGCAAACTGCTGGATCTGGGAGAAGGAATCGTTGATTCTCTTGAAGCTCCAAAAAGGTTACTCTATCAACGACGGTAGGAGAATGACCGGTGGTCGATGATAAAGTTCGCCGAAACAAAAATATATTTGGTTCATTAAAAAGGTCGAGAGATAAGGAGGACGAATATGAGATTGGGTTTTCAATCGGAGGTGGTGATGGTCGTATATAGGGTGGAGAAAGGGGATGCGGCAGCTAGCCTGGGGAGAGAGAGAGAGAGAGAGAGAGAGAGAGAGAGAGAGAGAGAGAGAGAGAGAGAGAGAGAGAGAGAGAGAGAGAGAGAGAGAGAGAGAGAGAGAGAGAGAGTTTTCAGAAAGTGTTTTACTCGAGTAAAACCATTGTCCATTTGACTATTGTGTGTTTTGAATTCATTGAGAAAAACATAGTCACCTGTCACTTCTATTTATTTTGATTGGCCAACAAATTTGTATTTAGTCAATTACAATGGAGAAAGTGTAGTGCAAATAATTTTATAACAAAGGTAATTAGGGAGTTTGGTAGTAGTTTTCAATCTTAATTAAAAAGTTGATTATAAAAAAGTCAATTAGCATGTGTTGAACGTATAACCTAACTAAGTCCAAGGGTAGAATTTGTCAAAGATATTAAGTATTTTCGAACAAAATAAATTCTCAATATATGACAACATATTACACATGTGACTATACCACATATTTAGGCACAATTTCAACTACACTTGCACAAGTATTTCAATTACCATAAAAAGGACAAAAAAATGTTGACATAACCTCAACATAATGCAAATCGAATGTTGTCATCAAAATCAAATGCACTTTTGCAATTGTGTAATATAACAACCCTAGTTGTTCATCACTCATTACAAAATCCAACACCAATTTTTTTATTCTTTGCTAACTCAAATCGTTCTACCAATCTCTTCATAAACCAAAATCTTCCATTAGCTAGATGATTCAATTTAGTATTAATCTTTTCAATGTGGTTTACTTCTTGATTATTACAATGACAGAAAATCATATATGGTATAGTAAATGGCCATTGATTTGGCGCAGCCTTGTGTGAGAATGTATGTTTTTCTCTTTCTCTCTATTAGTTTAGTTTATCATATGCAAAGTTTTCATTGGCATAAAAACCTACAAATTAGTTTACACAACACTTTACAATTGTGTTGCTAAATTGTTTAAATTCAAATAGAACCTTTGCATGGCGTGTAAGAAAAAAATTATTTAACGCCGTTAATCTCTTAGATATATTGCATATTATTAGATATGAAAATGTCACTCAATTGTAACCCAAAAAAAAATGTCACTAAATTTCTTCAATTTTAAATGTATACATAAGTCTGAAAATATAAAAAGTTTCTCAAACTATTTAGTAATATTAGCTTAATAATCAAAAGGGTAATACTAATATGTGACCTAGACACATGTTAAGAACTAAATTAAGAAACTTTATCTTAAAAATCATGTATTGAATTAATTACAAAATAGATAATTTATTTTATTTTATGTTATCTAAATGTGGATATCAGAAACTGCTTCTTTGTGAATACATAGGCCTAACACAAAACAAAACCGTCGGTAAAAATAAATCTGTGGCAACAAATAGATAAATAATTGATTTTGAGCCACAAATTTGAAGCTTCAAAGATAGGGTTTTATCTGTAATAACATCCATTTGTTTTGTGGTTCATCACCATATATGAACCATTGGTTACCAAGTTAGAAGATATTGTTTATTTAATTTTTTAATTTTCTTCTTCTTGAATCTTCAAGTGTAAAAATTGTGAACTTAACTGTATTCAGCATTATTTTTTATCCATTATTGAAACTACTGAAGTTTTTTGAACTAATAATTAATTTGATTTTTTTTTCTTGATAAAATTATTGGGAGAAAAATGATGGTGGTTAAAATGAACTTAAGATTAAGAATAAACATTTAAGTTTTAATTAAATTTGATATTTTTATTATTTAATATTTGAATTTCTCAAATAAGATTACTTCAATTGAAAAAACCTATATCTTTTTAACTTTGATTAAGTCTATTGTAAAGAGAGAAACAATGTTACTATGTTTAAGTTTAATGTAAAGTAAAATGATTCTCCAAATTTTTAAGTTTACATAATAAAATTTCAATCAAAACATGATATTTTATTTGAGTTTAAAGGTAGCGAGTGCATGCATAGACATTATAAATTAATATTACATATACAATTTATTAAAAAATTATATTTACTATATCATATATTTTTAAAATTTTATGTTTTAATTAAATATACATCTTTCATTAATTAAAAATATAAAAATATTTTAATATCAATGAATATTCCTTTTTCTCATTTCCTTTTACTTGGTGAATGATTGGATCATTTTGTATCAATCACGCATCATTTGTCAGATAATATTGAAGTAATACAAATTGATCTGATTATTCACTATGTAAAAGAATATGTATATTAAATTTGTTTGGATTAATTTCAAGTAATGTCTTCATATCAATAACTATTTATCTTCAGATCAACTCCATATCAATAATGTTTAATTAATAATATAAAAAATCACATAAAATAACAAAATATGATTATTTCTACCGATAAAAAAATCTTAAATACATAATTAAATCTATAATAACATGTAATAAATGGAATTAGTCCTCCTAACTTATAGCAAAATCAGAGAATATAGAACATAAAGTTACTGCAAAATAGGGCAATATAGTATACTACCATATGATTTGTCCTTTTCAGTTTGGGAAAAAGTAGTTGCATTTCCACCTACGTGGCAAACCAACATTGTTTGCACTATTTCATGACACACAAATTCTAAGGCTACAAGACAACCTTACCCTACATCATCAATAAACCTTAACTACCTTGGAACTCACTACCACATATTTTTCTCTTCATATCTCAAATTCTCATAAAAATTAACGTTAATCTCATAGATAATATCTACACAGTAACACAATGTATGATCCATAAAAAATACAACAATGTATGCTAATCTCTCAAAAAAAATTAATGAATTCCAAAATATAGTAATTAATTTTTGTAAAATTAGTATCATATATATATATAATGAAAGAGATAAATATATCATAAAATTCAATAATTTGGGATTATAACAATTTATATATTGTGTGTGAAAATAAGATGATATATATATGTTTGGGAAGGTAAATATTGAATATAGAGAACAAATGGTAAATGATAAGAACAATGTGATCCATAGAGAGAATGAGGTTATGGTCATTCTTTTATGGTTAATCTCCAACATTCAAACCTCATCTAAAAAGATAGGAATGAAGCTCTCCTTAGCTTAGCTTTCATTTTCATTATCTACATTTGGTCACATTAAAATGGGGATGCCCCAATTGGTCATGGAAGACACATCATAGTTTACTATTATATAGCATTGTCATTTGATTCTTCATTGCATCAATGTCTACCTCTTCAATAAACGGCTTTAGTCTTTCTTCTTTGTCCCCTGCCAAAACTTCTATCAAAAGAACTACATTAAGACCATTTGTTTTTGCATCTCTCAACTCTTCTTCATCTTCTTCTTCCTCTTCTTTCCCTTCTCTTATTCAAGACAAGCCTGTTTTCGCTTCATCATCTCCTATCATCACCCCAGTTTTGGTATATACATTAATAATTAATACGCTCGCAAATTAAATTTGCATTTTGTTAGTTTGTTATTCTCGTTCATGTTAGTTTATTTATTTCTAATGTCGTGTATTAGATACTTGTTTTAATACATCTCTTTTTATCAAGACTATTTTGAGAGTTTATGTCTTTTTATTTCTTGTCTTTAAAAATTGTTAAATACCCAAAATTCTATTTGCATTTTGGATCAAAATGTGTGTTTTAGTTGCCATACATTAATTATGGCAATTTGGTGATCATGTGCTTAAAAATCTAATAGGGTACACTTATGAGGTGAATTTGATTGCTACTTGGAAAAGAAAAGTTTCATTTTGATTTTATAAAGTTCAGTTTCACATGTAAGATTGGTAAGTTTAGTTAGGTTTGAGGGACAAATGTGTGGCATGGATTTATTCATGTATTACATGTGTCACCAATCAGCATCAAACAACTAATCAATTTTTTATTAGAAAAAAATTATACCAAAAAATAAAAACTATATATTAGGTGAATTTGCATTGTATATGGACCAAGGAAGTGTGTTAGTTAAGTCATAAGTGGATTCTATAAAACAGCAAATTCAAACTACAATAGAAGAAAAGGTCCATTCAAAAACCTGTTTTGCTAAATTAGCACTTAATTAATCCCTACACATGAAAAATTAAGTAAATGATTTTCAATTTAATTTTTCTCAAACCTTATAGTACTATTTATTTACTTGGTTGAATTGTAAAATTATTATGTTTTTGTTATGAGAATTTTAAATACTATTGTCCTTTAGTACTCCATAGTTTTCATATGTATCAATGTTCACACTAAAAGTTGGCTATATGTTTATAATTATAGAAAATAAATCAATTATTTTTCATTTCTCATTTTTTTCAGAGTGACTTATAATTATGTTTCAACTGACATATATATTTTTTATATTTTTAATCTTTTAAGAGAGAAGAAATGGGAAAGGGCTATGAAGAAGCTATTGAAGAACTCCAAAAATTGTTGAGGTAAACTCTAGTGAAATATACTATATCTAAAACATTATGAAATATGGGATTCTTGTCAATGTAAAACATTTTTCATAGTATAAAATAAAATAAATTGATCAATGGTGTATCAAAATTATCCGAGAGAAATATATTTATATCTCACACACGGACAAGACTCTAATATTGACATATTGACACTATTAGTAATTTGAATAAAAAAAAAATAAACTGAACGTAATCACATGTGTCGGTGTTATTGAATATCTCACAGTATGATATTTCAAAATATAGGGAGAAGACTGATCTGAAAGCCACAGCTGCTGAGAAGGTTGAGCAAATCACAGCTCAATTGGGAACATCCTCATCTGAAGGCATTCCAAAATCTGAAGCCTCAGAAAGGATCAAAACTGGTTTCCTTCATTTCAAGAAAGAGAAATATGAGTTAGTAACTAAACTTACAAAAGCTTCACCTTCATAATTAGTTATATCCTTAGTTTCTTCTCGCTTAAGCTTTCTCATTCAATCTCGTTCTCATTTTTTCCACAGCAAGAATCCAGCTTTGTATGGTGAACTTGCCAAAGGCCAAAGCCCTCCGGTATGCTGTGACCACAGCTCTATAGAAGAAAACCCTTTTGAATTTAGATTTTAATCTCCTAATTTTCTCTTAATTTGTTATCCTTTTCAGTTTATGGTGTTTGCATGTTCAGACTCAAGAGTCTGCCCATCTCACGTCCTAGATTTCCAGCCAGGAGAAGCCTTTGTGGTCAGAAATGTTGCTAACATGGTTCCACCATATGACCAGGTTTGTTTTTCACTTGTTATAGGGGGAAAATGCATCTCTTTGACTTCTATGATGTTGATTCCAATCAAAGACAGACACAATGAGATATACATGACACGACACTGACACATTATAATCAGATGAATGAGTTTCATACTAGTGTCGGACATTGACACGTGTTAGATTCTAGAAGCATGTTGTGTATACAGATTTTCTCAATACAATTATACCAAAAGGTAATGTATTTGTTTAATGATTCTATATAACAGGCAAAATATTCTGGAAGTGGTGCTGCAATTGAGTATGCAGTTCTGCATCTCAAGGTATATATTACAACATAAATGAACTGCCTACACAAAATTTCATGTATAGTAAGAAAATTTGATTAATTGAGAATAATATTTAATCCATCAAATTTTTATTTTTCTATAGGTTTCCAACATTGTTGTCATTGGACACAGTGCTTGTGGTGGTATCAAGGGACTTTTGTCCTTTCCATTTGATGGAACCTACTCCACGTAAGTTTTTTTCTTCTTTGCATCAACAATGTATAATCTATCTCTATAACAAAAGATGAGATAAAGTTATAAATTGTAACTTTTCAAAAACTATCATAGGGAGCTTATGAAAATAAGCTAAAACCTGTTTATGGACATGCCATAAACTGTTTTCATAAGCTCTCCGTTCAGAAGTGTTTATACTTTATACTGGAAGATAAATTCAAATAATTCAATACAAATAGGTCTTAAAGTCTAGGAAGAGAGAAATAGACATTACTATTATATCTTCATCCTTTATTTTGTTGTGTGTAGTGATTTCATTGAGGAGTGGGTCAAAATTGGTTTACCTGCAAAGGCAAAGGTGAAATCACAACATGGAGATGCACCTTTTGCAGAGCTATGCACACACTGTGAGAAGGTAAACCAATCCACAAGCGGCAAACTTGATGAATTTCAACTAATATAAAACATGTGTTGAAAAGAGTGTGTTGCTAGCACTTTTCCTAAACACTCTATTATTAGTCTAAATTCATGTCGGTCTCATCGGATATGAATTACAGCTAATAGAGTGTTGGAAGAGACGCGTGTTAGTGAAGCTTACGAGTTTAAATTGAACTATGTGCAGGAATCTGTGAATGTTTCCCTTGGAAACCTTCTCACCTACCCATTTGTGAGAGAGGGATTGGTGAACAAGACATTGGCACTCAAGGGAGGATACTATGACTTTGTGAAAGGATCCTTTGAGCTTTGGGGACTTGAATTTGGCCTTTCATCCACTTTCTCCGTATGAACATCAACCATATATCAATGACCACATCTTGATTACTGAGTATTCTTCTCCCTAAAATGTACTATATAATTACCCTTGTTATATATAATTATGAACTAAATTTCACAATAAATAAATGCAGATAGAAGCTATAAGCTATAACTATGAACTAAATTTCAAACACTCTACTATTACCCTTGTTATATATTTATGGTGTCTCACTTTCACCACTAAATTTTTTTATGTTTGTTAGGTCAAAGATGTGGCCACGATTCTACATTGGAAGCTATAATCTCGAGGTTAAATGTCGTGTGTCTGCAATGAAGAAGCCTATCTATTTTCATCATATGATATTTTATATATATGAGAATCTATGAACTTGTGTTATGTTGTATTATGTACTATATCTGATGTATCTCATCTTAAATAAGAGTTTCGAAATCCTGTTGAGGCAAAAATTTCAAGAATTTGTTCAATCAATACCTGATCACATCATTAATATAATTGGAGTTCTGAAATCACGGAAAATTCAAGATGAAGATGAAGCTACAAATAGTAGCTTCTGGTAAAGGCCGTGCGGTGGCGGAGTAAACACGCTACAACTTGTGATATAACTAACAGACTATTAAATTTCCAGAAGTTGAAAAAATAAAGTTAGCCAACAGAAATTAAAGTAGAACAAAAATACATCTTGATTCACAAGGCAAACTTGTTTCAATGACAGTACACTAACTACTGTATATTTGTGAAGGGAAATCAAATTCAATACTAGTACACTAAAGAAACAATAATATGCATTACTTAAGAAAACAAAATTTGTGAAGTGCAATCAAAGTATCAGTACACTAAATTCAGTATATTTTTGAACAGCTATATCAAAGTATGTTAACAAAATCAACAGACCAACTTTAATATGAAGTAAACACAATTAGAAACAAGATAAATACGTATTAATTATGTTATGAAGGTATCATACTATTTTGTTCCATCATCTTGAATTTCTATAGCAAATAACACAAAGCAAAGACCCAAATTCTCTTCGTTACTCAAAGCACGATTCCATAAAATCATAAGAAAAAACACGTGTCACTGTTATACAGACATTTTATCGAACACTTTAAGTGCAACTCAACACAACAAAACAAAACAACCTCCATCACCTATGCACCAGCTGCAGGTACAGCCTCCTGCTGTTAATTCTGCTTGTTGAGGTTCGCTCTCACTCATAACACTTTTTCTTCATGATTTGTATTTTGATGGTGCTTCTAAGTTCTATGCTTCATTCATTTTTATGAATTTTATGAATTTTTTTTATCAATTTTAAAATTTTGATATATCAAAATCACTAAAATAATACTACCTACAAATAATATTTTATAAAAATCATTCAATCTAATATTTTGTTTCAAGTTTTTTAAAACAATTTTTTATAATTTAAAAAAAAAAAATGATATATTATAAAATAATGAGTTAATAACCATTTCTCCATACGAATCCTAAAAATAATAAAATAAAATACAGATTTTCATAGGCATTTCAAAATCTAAATAATAAATTAAATGAGATTCAAACCATTCACCACCCACATGCTAACCAAATTCCCTTCTACTAAATCAATTATTCTTTCACATTAATAATTACACTAAATTAAACTTAACATAAACATTTTATTAAACTAAAAATATATAAAATAAACTGAAATATATTAAACTGAAATATTATACTAAAACATGAATTATATTTTTATTTTTACTTTCAATTCATTAATTAGATATATTTTTACATTAACTAACCATATTTTTAATTAATTAATCAATTTACATTAACTAACCATGTTTATTTATTTATAGAAATTAATATAGTTGAAAATAACATTGTTTGTAAATATAGTTGGAAACTAATATATCCCTCACACATTAATTAATTAATGTTATTTATTTATTTACATTAACTAACGTTATTTATTTATAGAAACTAACTATAAATAACACTAATTTATTTACATTAATTTATTTATATTAATTTATTTACATTAACTAACAAATAAAAAACGTTAATAATATATGTTAGTTAGTTTATAGAAATTACATATATTTATAGAAATTACATATAGTTGAAAATTAATATACTTTTGTATAGTTTTTATTAAATATATACATAAATATATTTAATTTCAATTTACTTTATTTTATTTATTTCCAATTTATTATTTATGAAATTAAAAAATATATTTTTCATATTTAGTACTTTCATTTTATTTAATAATTTGATATTTAATAATTTTAGTAATTTTATTAAATATTTTTAACACTTTCAGTTTTATTTAATAATTATTATTAAATATTAAAATAATGAATGTTTAATACTTTCAATTTTATTTATATTTTCAATTTATTATTATTTTATTGTTTTCAGTTTTTAAATAATAAATATTAAAATAATGTTTGTTTAATAATTGTTTAATTTTTAATTTCAATTTATTTATAGTATACTATGTAAAATAACGTTTTATTTTTAAAATATATTCTATTTAATATTAATGTATTCATTTTAGAATAAACAGTACACATGTAAAATATTACTCATGTAATAAATAATAAATAGTACTCATGTAATAAATAATAAATAATACTCATGTAAAAAATAATAAATAGACTCATGTATAATAATTCTCATGTAATATCAATTTTAGAAATAAATGTTAATCGTGTAATATATACTGTTAAGGTGAAAACAAAACATAAGAAACAAATTGGCCAAGTTGTAGGCGCCCCCTTAATCATATGCAGACCCTTTTAGGTTTTCGATCCGTCAGAATATATATATATATATATATATATATATATATATATATATATATATATATATATATATATATATATATATATATATATATATATATATATATATATATATATGTCTAAGTTGCATTTTTAAGTTTTCAACTTAGCGGACTTATTCAATTCTTTTGATTTATTCTTTTCTTTTTATCCCTAATTTTTGTCTGAATTTTTTCTTTCTGTGGTTCGTCGAGATGTTCATTTTTGCCTAAGTCATCCTTTCGGGTTTTCGACTTAGCGGGTCTCTTTTATGCGAAGTGTTTTTTGACTGCACTTGCGTTCACAGGGAGTAGAAAATCTTCACAATCCATTGTTGCAAGCATCATGACTCCTCCAAAGAAAACCTTCTTCACAATATATGGTGCTTCATAATTTGTAGTCCACTTGCCCTTGGGATCTGATTGGGGAGGCATGATTATTTTTAACTCAAAGTTGCTAGCTTGGAAGTTCCTAGGACGCACCTTCCTATCAAATGACTTTTTCATCCATCTCTGATACAACTTCTCGTGACAAATGGCTGTCAATCTTTTCTCTTCAATGAGATTTAATTGATTGAACCTCGTTAGCAACTTCACACGATTTCCCTCCAAAATTCATCATTTCACACGCTTGGACATTCCATTTGATTCCTTATAAATAGAGGGTCATCCCCCATTCATTTTCTCAAGCTTGGATAGCCAGAATCACCCTGCCAAACTTGTTCCATAACTCAAAATTCTGCAACTTCGAAATCTGTTTTCAAGCCATTTTCAATCTAATTTTTCTATCAATTTACCTTCCTTGATCTTCCCTGAAGCTAACCGTATAATTACATTCAAGAATCGTGCCCTATATTGCTTCATAGAAGTCCAGTTTCAGAGCTCTGCAACTCAACTTCAATAGGTAGATTTCTTCATCAATTCTTCAAAACTTTGATATCATTGTGATGCTCTCATTGCCCTGGTTCTAGTCGCAACACTTACTTTCATCTGGAAACTTGTTTTGACCATGAAATTTCAAATCCCTTTTCAAAACTTTCTTTCCAAATTGCTTGAGCTACAACTTATATAAATTTATCGTGAAGGTGTGGTTGTCTTCGTCTTGAAGAGACGAAGCGAATGACATAGGTCTCATGCTCTAATTTTACAGATTGAGCAACCTGATTTGGGGACTGGCTGGAGGTTGAAGATGACCAACGTGTCATCCTTCAACCAATGAAACAATGCCATTTAGATTTTTTGAATTTCTGATTTACATTTGATTCAGTGCTTTATTCACTAATGACCATGATATGCACAACGCGCCAGATCCCTTGGATTTGATTACTAACGCGTTTTGACTCTCATCCAATGGTCCACATATTTTTTACTTTATTTTTCTTTTCTGATTTTTATATTTAATTGTTTAAAATTTCAAAAAATCATAGAAAATTCATTTTTAGTCAAAAAAAATCTGAAAAATATTTTTGATTTTTCTCTTTCTGATTTTTATTTTTTCACAATTTTATTTTGTGTTTTCATATTTTTATAAATTTCCACTTTATTTGAATTGTTTTAAATGTTTAAAAATATTTTTATGCATTTTTAAATTTTGGAAAAATTATGGAATGATCCAATGATATTGTGACAAATATCGGTGACCTCATTTATTTTTTATTCCTGACTTTTTTAATTTTTTTATCATTTTTCGTTTATTTTACTCATTTCTTTTAATTTTAAAAACAGTTTCTGACTTTGAAAAATAACCAAAAAATTTATAAAATCATTTTAGTTCATTTCTGATTTTTCTGTGGTCTTACTTTTTATTTCTTGATTAATTTGAATATAGTTGATATTTTTCTCTTTTATTTCTATTTTAAAACCTTTTTTAAAACCTTTTTTAATGTATATATTAAATGCAATATTATTTTGTAATTATTTTCTGGTTGATCTTGGATTGAATTTTTGATCATGAACTTTGTTAACATCAATGGATCCATGGTGTTGAGTCTAACTCCACAAAAATGGATGAATGATTTTAATTATAGTTTGATTTAAATTTAATTCAAATGTGGTTTGTATATTCTCTCTCACCCCTCTTCATCTTGTCCCTTTCTCATTGCACTAAGTGTTATTGGAGCATGATCTCTATATCATGTCTCAAAACAAATGGTGCATAAATTGCTATTGACCGACCTCAAAATAGGTGTGACTTCTATATAAGTCCACTTACGATTGCTTAACATAGCGCTAAACTTTGTCCGGATTCGAATAAATGATCATTCGTGGCCCAAATCTATGTTTGCAAGCCCAAGTATGTTAATTTGATCTCTTTGATCCAATAACCTTGAGAATCATTGTATGGAGGCTTTGGTTCTACCAATCCTCTAATGGATCTACAACACTTTTGGTCAACGCGGATCACTTAAACATCGTTGATCATTAAATGGTACTTTTGAGGATTCCAAATGGATGATATACTTGACAAAAAGCAA